TATCTTTCAGTGCTAGAATGCAGATGGAAAGGCCAAAAGGAGGGGCCTGGGTGGGCTGAAGGAGTAATCTGACCAGGAAGGGCCTGGGGTGGTTTTTGATTAGCACCTCCCTGTTTACTGGGAGCTACTTCCTTAACAGTTCCTTAGGATGGGTTCTGGGCCTTGGGGACATTAACATTTCAATTTCCCCACGTGCAGCTCTGGTTTCCTGGACACCATTCTCAATCTTGGTCTCCATTTTCTTTACTCAATATTAGACCCGATTCACCTAACTACACTAACTACCTATCTGTAAATCTGGCTTCATTGGTACGATAACTGATCTTGGGCATTTGCAATATTTTAATGAATGAGTTTTTTTTTTTGAGTGTCTTTTGGCACATGATAACCATTGTCCTTTTCTTTTGGTTTTTATTTCTGTATGAGAGCAGGTCATTTTTTGTGTGTGTGCTTATCATATGTTCTAGAGAAGCATTATTTTGAGGTTCCACATCTTCACCACTCAATATAAATTCATGCCATTGTTCAATTTGCTGGAATGGAGGTTAGCAATCTTTTCCTGTAAAGGGCTAGATAACAAATATTTTAGGCATTGTGGGCCCTGTAGTCTCTGTTCCAAGTACTCATTTCTGCTGTGGTAGCACAAAGATAGCCATAGAAAATACAGAAAATAATGGCCATAGCTATGTTCCCATAAACTTCATAGCCCTGAAATCTGAATTTTGTATTAATGTTTTATGTCATAAAATACTTGAGTTTTTGGCAATAATTTTAAAATGTAAAAAGTACTCTTAGCTGGGAGGTTGCACAAAATAGTGGGTGAGCCAGATTTGGCCCACAGATTGCAGTGTGTAAACTGCCCCTGAGCTAGAAGACAGTCCTATCACACATTACTGTGGCAGGCATTTGGCTGGCGGGTTCCGTTGTCTCTGATGCACATGTAGCAGAGTTTCGGTTGGGTGTCACACTGCCTGTTGACTGTTAGAGTCTGTAAACAAGTCAAGATGGCGTCTGGCATTTTGCAGAGGGAGTGGTTTGTGAAGTAACACCAGCGAGCCATTAAGTGTGGAGATTCCTTATTGGTTGACTGCTGTATCTAGTTTATGTTAATTAAGATAAGCTGTGTGGAATGTATATATACCCCTCCTGTCCTACAATAAAGGGCTCCCACTCCTGCTGCATCAATGCACACAAGTTGCTGGTCACCCCCCCCCCTTATTTTGCTGCAGCTGGACTGCGGCAGTTGACTGAGATGGCCTCACCTCAGGGGTTGTACTTTCCACAGCATTTACCCATCACAGTCTGAAGGGCTCCTATAGACCATGAAGTGTAGTGGTCCATTAGTAGAAGTTACCACCAAGGTCAGACAGTTAAATAATGGCCCAGGGCATCTAGATTTAGTGGAAAAATTGGGGGCATTTCTACAGTCTAACAGTAACCTCCCACAGACAACAGTAGCCAATATTTCTTCAGCTGTTACAACAAGTAATAATTCTACCATCATCACTGTGTGCTAGGCTGCCCACTTTTCAGATCCAGCCAGTATTTGTACCACATCTGGTACTAAAGTACAAATTCTTAGCCATTTATTGACTAGGCTTCCTCCTTTTTTGGTGGTGGCAGGAGGACTTCCTCCTTTGATGCTGTGGGCCTGGGACTGGCTTCCTCCTCAACCTCAAGGAACCCCCGAGCTCATTCACCCTCCTTAATTATTGCAGTGATGCATAAGGTCATTGTAAGTAATAAAATATAAAGGTAAATGCCTGAAATGTGCCATGTGTAGAGTGCCAGTTCAGTGACTGCAGCTACTTCTGTTCACTCTCTAGCTCATGTAACAAAATAAACACTGCTTTGAAAATCAGAAGACGACTTCTTACACACCATTTGGTTTTTTGCAGCCCCAGGATTCAGAGCAATGAATGGAAGCTGAGGAGGCAGGGAGAACCACTGCAGGTCTGGTGGGGCACAGGAAGGCTGCCTAATGGGCACTGGGGGAAAGTGGCAGTAGTCGCTCTGTAAGAAAGATGTGCCCCAGGACCTTCTGTGAACCATAATGGCAGGGACAGGCTCAATGCTGCCACTCCGGGGCAGTGGCGCTTTCTCTTTGTCCTTGAATGTTACTTGCAGCTGGGGCTCTTCTACAAAGCTTTCACGGAAAGGTTGCAGCGGGGCATCTTGCTGTCCGTGGTGGTGTCACAATCTGATTTCTCTCCATCTGGGAGATGATCTCCATCTGCGGGTGTTCATGGGAAAGGACTGCAGCGCGTTTGTTGGTAATGGGGTTTTCCAGATTGATTCTGCAGTTGTGAACTTGCACTTTCAACGCATTCAGAAAGCATAGGGAGTGCAGACCCTGGCCCTACACCAAGTCTCCCGAGCACAAGGCGCTCTGCCTCTGGGCCGGTCCCGCTTCCTCTCATCCGCCCTGGCACCCCCGGGCCGCTGCCTGCTGACCGCGGTCAGACACGAAAAAAACGGCACCTTTTCTTTAATTTTGAGACAGGATTCACTACATCTTCCTTCAGGGAGCAGCGAAAGGCTCTTATGCTCGGTTCTGGAGCGGCGGCTGGAGGGGTCCTGGGGGAACAGTCTTTCTTGGGGAGAATTTCAGGGCCAGAAGGGGAAGAGTCCTGGCCAAGGTCACCGAGCTGGCAGACGCTCCGACAAGTGCTCTCAGGCCAGGGGGGGTCACCGCACACGCCCGCCACGACAGCCTCCGGCTCGCTGCCTCAAGCGACTTATTACTCCCTGCCCACCCGCCCCTAAGTGCTTTCAATGGCCGGAACCAGGTGGGAAGGGGTGTGCGGGCCGCGCCCCAGAAATCAGACCGCTCCACCCACTGGGTGCCTGAGGCCCCGCCTCCCGGCATTGGCCACACCCATCGCCCCCGCCCTCAGACTGCGGCCCCGCTACAGAGACCCAAGCCTGGTCCCGCCCCGCCGGCCTTGCCCCTGCCGCGTCGCCCGCAGGCGCCAGCACTTGCGCGTCCCCTTCCCCGGCCCTCCCGGGGCCGCGCAGCGCGTACCGGCTCTGGGCGGGGCCTTGCAGTGGTAGCAGGGCTCCTCCTCCTGCTCCTCCTCGACCTGCCCCTCGGGTCCTCTCGCGCTGTCCTCCTCTGGGGCCCCTCCGCCTTGTCCCAGCCATGGTGGCCTGGCGCTCGGCGGTCCTTGTCTCCCTCGCTTTCTTCTTGGCTATCCTGGTCCAGAGAGGTAAGGCAGGCTGGGGACGCGTGTGGACCCCGCCCTGGGGGCCCCGGGGTCGCTCTGTGCTTGAGCGGCCCGGCCCCCGCCTCGCAGGCCTGAGTCTGAGGCACCAGGCTGTGCTGGGCGGAGGTGCGGGGTGCGACCATGCCGGGATCAGTGTAGCTGGAGAGGAAACATGGGGCCTCTCTTGGTGCTGAGCTACAGACCAGGAGATTGGCCTCCGCTAAAATCCTGAACAAGCAGGTGTCACCACTGATGACAACAGCTGTCCTCACGAGTTTACCTTAGGGAAAACCTTGGAAAGAGCAGTCATTTTCGAAAAGTGTGTGGGGCCACCTGCAGCAAAAGCACCTGGGGAACTTACTGGGTGGATTCCTATACCTTTGCGGTGGGGCTGGGGTGGGAGTGGAGGTGGAGGGCGTGACGTGTAGGTATAACCAGCTCCCTAGATGCTTTTGGTATCTGCTTCAGGTTTCAAGCTTTGGTCATATTTTGCCAAGAAAGAGGAGAGAGAAATTTCGCTGAATCAAGGGTGCAAGGTTCTTAGACTCTGTACTACTCAAAGTGTGGGCCAGGGCCCAACCGCCGCATTGGCATCACCAGGGAGATTGTTAGAAATGCAGCATCATATGCCCTGTCCCTGACCCACTGAATCAGATTCGGTGTTTTATTTAGCTTTTTAACTAGGTCCCTGGATAATTTACAGGCACATTCAAGTTTGAGAAGCATTGTCTTAGAATAAATGCAATCTGTGGTTAAAAATAGGGTCTTAAACATGTACCAGCAGAATCTTCTTACACTTATTTATATCCCATCTCCACATCAGAAAAGTGGTCTAAGGGAAACTCTGCAATTTGAGCACTGAATTGTGCTCTGAGCTTCATGAAAATGAAGGTAAATCCAACTAGTGAAAAACATGAGCTCAGAAAAGAAAAGCTTTCACATGGTATTGAGTTCTATTAAAATTTATGTCACATATCAGGAACTCTGGAAAACAGTGGACAGTACTAGCCAAGGTAGGTTTGCAAAAGATGTGGAAATGTTTTCATGTGGGTCATCTTCCTGCATTTGATACAAGAAGAGCCATTCAACATTCTTCAAAGATGTCAGGCTTGGTTCTAGGAACTGATGATATAGAAGTGAACAAAACTAAGACTGTCTTCCTGAAGCTGACCTCCATGTTGGAGGGAAAAAAACCAACTACACACATCTGTTCTATAGAATATATTGTTAGTGCTATGAAGAAAAATAAAGCAGGTTATAGGGATAAAGTGTTTTAGAATTTTCCCTTTAATTTTCTACTTTGGGAATACAATTTATTCTGTCTAATATGTATTTGTGGAGAAAAGTATACAGTTGTGCCCCTCTTATCCTCGGGAGATACATTTCAAGACTCCCATTGGATGCTTCAAACCATAAATAGTATATACAGGGTTCAGTAAACCCTGTATATAGCATGTTTTATACTGTATTCCAGGCAGCGTTGCCACGGAGTACCAAATTAATTTGTCCTTACATGTCCTATGCCCTGGTGCCTCATTTATATCACTGGTCTTTTTTTTTTTTCTTTCTACATTTATTATTGCTGCATAATAGTTGCACATAATGATGGGATTTGATGTTACATATATAATGCACACAATATAACAATATAATTTGACCAATTTTACTCCCCAGCATTTACCCCTTCCCTCCACTCCTCCCACCCCTTGGTCCATTTCTTCCACTGATTTCCCTTTGATTTTCATGAGCTCCACCCCACTTTTGTTTTCTTTTTTCCTCTCTAGCTTCCACAAATGAGAGAAAACATATGACCCTTAACCTTCTGTGTTTGATTATTTCACTTAACATGATGGTCTCTAGTTCCATGCATTTTCCTGCAAATGCCATACTTTCGTTTTTCTTCATGGCCGAATACAACTCCATTGTGTATATGTATATATATATATATATATATATATACACCACATTTTCTTTATCCTTCTATCCATTGAAGATACCTAGGCTGGTTCCATAGTTTGGCTGCTGTGAATTGTGCTGCTATAAACATGGGTATGCATGTATCACTGTAGTGTGATTACTTTAATTCTTCAGGGTAAATACTGAGGATTGCTATAGGTGGGTCATATGGTGGTTGCATGCTTAGTTTTTTGAGAACCTCCATACTGTTTTCCATAGTGGTTGTACTAGTTTACAGTTTCACCAACAGTTTTTCTCCACATCCTTTCTAACATTTATTATTACTTGTATTTTTTTTTTAACTTTACTAATAGGATATCTTTATTGCTGTTTTCATCTTCCTGGACTACTATTCTGGAAATTCATTTATTAAGTTATCAAAATTTAAAGGAATTTCATTTTCTCTTTTAGTACAAAAGAGCATCTTTTTACTATTATCTTAATTGTATATACTTATGGTGTTCAGTGTGATGATTTAACACTAAGATTTAAAGTTAGTAATAACCAGGTCAGGCTAGTTAGCATCTCCTTAAATTCCTTTGTTTTTGATTAAGACAGTAACTGCATTTGCGGTGGGCGGTTCTGACACACAGCACTATGTGTTCTGATCAAGTCGGGGTCATTAACGCTTCCCTCTCCTTAATTCCTGCTTTGGGGCTTGGAGCTCCTCTTCTGTTATTCCTAAGATAATCAAGGTATGGAGACTAGTCACCTGGTGTCCTGCAGAACCCAGAACCTGGCACCCTGTCCCATGTTTTAGTTCTGATCATCTGCCACCTCCTCTTTCCTTCCCCAGCCTCTAGGAATTGCTGTCCTACATTCTGATACACTCTTTTCACCTTGTACCTATGAGAACACAGCAGAACTTGTCCTTCCATGTCTGACATTTCAGGCACATTCAAGTGTGGAGGGCCTACCTTGCACCTGTGCCTCTGACATAATGTCCTCAGCACCGTCCAATTTCCTGCAAATGATGGAATGTCATTTTTTATTGCTGGATAATATTCCACTGTGCATACATACCATTTTCTTTGCCATCCTTTCATTGGTGGGCATCTGGGTTAATCCCACTTCTTGGCTATTGTGAATTGTGCAGCAATAAGCATGGGAATGTGGGTATCTCTTTGACAGGCTTTGTTTCCTTTGGATATACCCCCAAAGTGAGATTTCTGACTCATCCATAGGTCTATTTTTAGTGGTTTGAGGAGCCTTCATGCCCAGCTGCGCTAATTCACATTCCCGCCAATGGGGCAGGAGCATTCTCTGTCTCTGCCTCCTTGCCAGCGATTGGTACGCTCTCCTTGTGGTTTTGGTCTGCACTTTCCCGATGATACTGAGGTTGAGCATTTTCTCATGAATTTGAGCAACTTTGCTTTCTGTTGATAGGATCGCAGGCAACCTCTCCTCTCACAGATGTAAGATCACAAGGAACTGTTGGTGATTTTTAATTTTGAAAGATTTTTTTGCTGATGCAACTGTTACCAAAACTGCTAAGAGCCTTTCCTAGGTTGTGACCGCATTGGGATGATTTTCTGATAAATTACTTCAAGATATAAGGTTGAGTACAGCTAGAGCCGAGAGTTCTTGCAAAATGATTTTTCTAAAATTATGTAACTCTCTGTACAATTGGGTTTGTGTTAGCTTGGCTCTGATTTAAAATTCAAATTCTTTTTTTTTTTTTTTTGAGAGAGAGAGAGAGAATTTTAATATTTATTTTTTAGTTTTCGGTGGACACAACATCTTTGTTTGTATGTGGTGCTGAGGATCGAACCCGGGCCACACGCATGCCAGGCAAACGCGCTACCGCTTGAGCCACATCCCCAGCCCTAAAATTCAAATTCTTACAGTGGTGTATTAATGCTTCCCCTGAGCTTTGCTGTTACCTGGGCAAGAGACACAAGGAACCAGGTGGCATCATGACTTGAATACCATTCCCGAAGTTGGGGTAGGCCTTACATGGCTGTGTCTTAAGTGAACAGGAAGAGCTACCACTGGCTGTCCCTCTTCTTTACTGGCCAGTCATCTCCCCAGGGCCACACACTACAGCCACCACCTTGCTAGTGCTGTCCCCAGCAGCAGCCTGGGCCTAGGACTTGGCCCCACCAACCCTGCTGCAGCCAGATGGTGCCAGGCATGGGTGGGCAGCCAGGGCGCTGCGCCACACACCGCTGCTGCCCCCACTGTGTGAAGGGCCTACCTTGCACCTGTGCCTCTGACCATGTGTCCCTGCTGACGAGCACGTCCCCTTTTACCACCAGGGTCCTCACAAAGCAGGTTGCAAAGACACACTGGTTAGGAATGCCCCGGGGGCCAGCAGAGCCTCTGCTCCTCACTTCCTGCTCCCTCTGAGGGGAGTCCTGTGGGACTCCGGCCTCCAGCCTCGTGGCCAGCCCCCGCCACCAGGGGCTGTGTGTTGAAACCCATGACGTCCTTCACCAGGGGTCCTGCAGACAGGCCCACCACCTGAGCCTGCCCGATCGGCCACCTGACGCAGGGCATGGAGGGGCCTCTGGCACAGTCCTCCTCACCTGTGCCAAACCCAAGGTCTGCCCTGTGGGACCAGATCTCGCCTGTGTCCCCTGACCTCCAGCCCACCCCGCCCACTCTCAAAAATCATCTTTACTCCTCTGATGGGTCCCCGATCCAAGACCTCCTCTCCTGCGCCTCTGCTCACTTTACTTTGTGGCTCAACTGTGGAATCACAGTCATGGTCAGCACTGGGTGTGGTCAGCACTCAGCGTGGTCGGCACTACTTGTATTCTTGATGACTGCTATTCTGACTGGTGTGAGATGAAATATCAGTGTAGTTGATTTTCATTTTCCTAATTGCTAATGATGTTGGACATTTTCTATATATTTGTTGGCCATTTGTATTTCTTCTTTTGAGAAGTATCTGCTTAATTCATTTGTCCCTTTATTAATTGCATTATTTGATTTTCTAGTGTTAAGTTTTTTTTTTTTTAATTTTTAGTTGTAGTTGGACACAATGCCTTTATTTTTATTTATTTATCTTTGTGTGGTGCTGAGGATTGGACTTAGGGCCTCAC